TCTAGTGACTTTTATCAGACAAGATGTTTAGATTTGAAGTCATTGTTGCCAGTAAGAAAAATGTAATACATAAAAATACTACTTAAAGTTGAACAATATGTATTTTAGCTCAGAAATTGTTTCTAAACAGCTTGTGTTTTTTTTCTTTTATGACTATTTTCTGAATAGTCAATAGTTTATTCCTTGTCCGTTCCACTATTGGTTCACTTAGCACACTTGCAAACTTTAGTGGTTTTTGTTTTAGAGAAACAAAAGATTTTGCACTGATGTTGAAAAATTATACATTCTGTGTATGTATTTAAATATTAGGGATCAAATTTTGACTTGGGATCCCAGTTAAATGTCATTTCTGTCATAAATTTTAAACCAATGAAAGCTATTTGCTTCTTTTGAGGACTTCACAGGATGATTATAATTTCAAAGCTTTAAATAAGAAGTTTGGTTAATTCCATATACAGTATCATCTCTTTAAAATGACATTTTACATACGAAATATATGGTCATTAAAATAGTTTTCAGGTGACAATCTAGAACTAAGAGTTCTTAACTTTAAAATATAGCCTTAGTAAAGAATACATAAAATCTACACTGATTTCTATATGTGGTATCATTTAAAATCCATCTTTAACCTTCTCATTAAATTAATACTTCCAGATTCTGGCATATCCATGTATTCTGTGTAGGTATTATATGTCATTCTTTTTTCCCAAATACTTTGAATATTTATTGTGAACTTTAGTAATGTGATCGTTTTTTAAAGTCATGTATACAGTTCAAGTTCACAATATCTGTTTGCATTTGGTTTGGAAGTTGGCTACTGCCAATAGTGGAATTGTTAGATTTGGATATAGGAAATGTAAGACAATGGTATTTCCCTTACCAATGTTAAAAATTAATCTAGTCTTAAGATTATAAATTTCCATTAGTAAATTATAGAATTATTTATCAGTTTTTCTCTTTGGTTTATTGGGCTCTCTGTGGTCAGAGAATGCTTTGGAAAAACAAAATTGTATTTTATACAAATTAAAGTTGTTTCAACAATAAGAAAAATCAGTAAAAATTCACATGTTACTTAATGAGTATAATTTTAAAAAGGATGAAGTTACAACTTTATGAAGTACTGGTGAGGGATTTAAGGAACATATAAAATTATAAAATGTAAATACATTATAGCTATTCTGCCTAGTGAGTAAATAAAAGCAGTTGTTGAAATATTTTTGTTGAAGCTTTTGTATTTTTAATATGGAGCAATTAAATGTAGCCCCTTTATTCCCAAAAAATACAAATGGAGACTCAGAACCTAAGAAAATGAGATGTCATTAATAATTTTGGGGGCAAATAAGTGTAAATTTAAAAAAGAATACATATTTGGGGCAAGATTGCATCAATACTTTAGTTCTCCAGAATGTCAGTTGAGTTGCTTCATTATATTTTATTTAATGATATAAAGACTGAAAGGTCTTTATAGATATTTTGTTGTAGGTAATGCTGTCAAGTCGATTCTGACTCATAGTGACCCTACATAGAGTTTCTGAGGCTTTCAAAACCTTTGCAGGAGCAGAAAGCCTCATTTTTGTTCCACGGAGTGGCTGGCAGACTCAGACTGTCAACCTTGTAGTTCACAAAGCAATGCTTTTATCCTATGGAGACACCACTCTCCCTTATAGATATTTTCAATACATTTAAATTGTTCTCAGGACTATTCTTTAGTACTTTCCTGAGAATGCTTGGAAATGACAAATTCGTATTCAGAGATGTGAAATGTTCTTGATTAGTATCTTTACATATTTTAATGGGTAATACCTCATTAAGGTTTTTTAATTCTTTGTAAATATATGGATCAATGTGTAAGAGGTAATTAGGCTTACTGATAGTATCAAGAAAGAAATAGTACTCGTTGTAGAAATATCAAATAATTATCTCTAAGCACTTTGTAATGTTTGTATTAGATAATACTATGATTATCACATAATACTAAGCACTTTGGGTAGTGATTCTGTTTTTTAAAACCTGAGTGTGTCTATTATGGACATTAACTTTAATAAATAAAAGTAATAGGTTTTCAAAGACCAGTTTAAAAAAAAAAATGAATTTTTACCTCTGTGGTAGGTACTGGGAGGGTCTAACATGAGAAAGCCATACTGTCTATATTTCAAGGTTATAGTTGCTACTCTACCACCTCTCCTGGCATTGCTGATAAATTTAGACGAGCTGTTGCTAACGAGAATTAACATTTTTATGTGAAGGATTTTCTACACTACTATATCATCAGAGCAACAATGTAGAGTTTTGTAGTTTAAAAAAAAAAAGATTGTCTCATTTGTTTCAGTTTTAAAATGAGTAAAGCCTTTGTAATGTAAGGACAAGCTCAGATAGTTTTAAAAAAAAAAAAAAATGTCTCAATTAAAGGATGTTTACTGCTGTCTTCTGACAGAGTTTATGTTTCAGTTTTATAGTTTCATACTAATGAACTTTTTATTTAATAAGTGTGTCCAGGAAATTTCAGGTAAAATATAATAATCGGGGATTAGGTGTTCAAGAAGAATGTATAGAATATCTTACTTTATGTAGGGTATGATATCACAGTTTGGAATACCTGTCCCAGAACAGACATTTACATATGATTATTACATCAATTGGGTCTTATTATAATTTTGAATGTTTTAATAAGATTTGCAAGGTAACATTCTATTTACTTCAAAGGTTTTATCTTGCAGATTAAATTTATAAATACCACATAACTTATTTTTTAATTCATGATTGCTTTTCACCTATACTTTTCATCTGTCATGGACAGGGATCCCTGAGATGTTCATATTCTGCATTCTCATGTGCATGATACTTAGATTCGAAGTGGGGAAAAGTTGCTTTATAGAAATACAAGTTCACAGCATTCATGCTGCATGCTTTGTGTGTTACACTGCAAATATTGCATGCTGCATACTTGTATTTCTTTGAAAATGAAGACCATAGACTCATACACACAAAAATTTAGTTTCATTTTTGCCAATAGTTGGAACAGATGGAGGAATGTTAGACATAATACCTTTTTTTTTTTTTTCTAAAATCAATTCTGTAGTATTTTTTAAAAAAGGAAAAAACGTTATATTTAAACCCAAAGTGGCTACAAATCAGCTCTTAAGCTGTCACTGACATTAGCATCTAGATTTTGTCGTTTTTACAAATCTTTTAAAATATTATTTACTAAGAAAACATTGCATTAATGCATGATACAAAATTGATACTTTTTTCTTTAAATTGGAATGCAGTTTAAAGTAACTGAATCTTCCAATTTCAGCTACTGCATTTGACAAGGATACAAACTGGAAAATGGAACTGGTATCATCTAATTGCTCTAGATTCTTTGACTTATGGTAGTTGGGAAAAACTTTTCCATGTGGCATTATGTAGATCACCATATTGATACTTAATATTAATGAGTATGTTCTTCAACCTTGCAGCAATTCAGAATTTTTTTGGATCTAGTTCTTTCAAATAACTTAAGTATTTTGGTATATTTTTCTATTAAAAATAGATCTTTGGCATGTGGCTTTTGATTTATGTAAACATTGACATTCTTATATTCTAGTATTTACATTATTAGTGATATGAATGTTGCAATTCTAATAAGTGGAAATCAAGTTTAAGGGTTTCTTTTTTCATACCACTTTAAAACAGTGGCATACTTTACTATGGATAAAATTTAATTTTACCCATGTTATCTATTTTTATTATATTGTTAGTATGTCTCTTGTATAAGATGAAGTTATGTTTCTAAAATTTTAAGAATGACAACTGCCAGCCTTAACAAAAGGTAGTGTGCCTCAAAAGTTAATGCTGTTAAGGTATAAAGTTGTATTTTTTTTAATGAGTTATTATGCCAGTTGCCACACATTTAGAAAAGATAAACTTAAATCTTTTTTTTGCTAGGTATAATATATTTAATAAATGGTTTTATAAAAATCAGCTTTATAGAATCTAATTCTGATGCTCTCCAGAGATTTTCTTGCTTAACTTGTATTTTGTTAGATGCCAGACAATAAATTTTGCTGTTAACTCTTAACACTAGAAAATTTCCTTAATAGTCAAAATCAAGTGGAAGACATGGACAGTGGTAGCCAACTGATTAGTATGTAATCAAATATTTTTAAGAGAAACCCATCTGGCATTAGTTCTACTCAGCTATTCATTCTGCCATAAAAGATGGATTTATGTATTTCAAAGCTCATGGTTTTACAGTAGTACCAACTTCTGTAGACCCTCAGTGGTTCACTTGCTTATCTTCTACAATGCAGCATGTTCCAAATCAATTCATTTTCACCTTTGTTTTCCTTGATTTTATATCAGTCATAGTGACGGTACCAGTTCCATTTTGTCTCCAATTCAGTTGATTATATATTTTTTCTATTTATTTCTCATTTTATAATTGATATCTGGAATAATCAGCAGCTCTTTTCTCATTTATTTTCTCATATTTTTATTCCAGGATTTGCCTCTGAAGCAGGGAGTGTCTGCATTAAAAATGACCTGTAGTTCTCTGCTTCATAGGTTAGAAACTTATTTTAATATTTTGTGGCTAAGCACAGTCCCACTTTTTCAAATTCTATATAATGAATTATTTAATTGGCATTGAATGTGGCCCACAAGCATATATTTCAGATTGGGGTTTTCTGTGTTACTTTAAATGATTAAAATTCAACAGATCATCCAGCTGAGGCAATAAAAGCTTTATTCTTGCTGTACAGCTTAAGACATTAAATTAGATTTTAAAAATCAATCGATTATAACATGAGTAAAATAATGCTACTTGGGCATTTTTTAAAATTGCGTTTCTTAGGCCTTGTATTGCTTAAAGCATTTATATTCTAAAACTTAACCAAATTCCAACTATTCATTTTGGGGAAAAACAATCAGTTCACAAATTACATTTTCAATGGGACTGCTAGCCAGCATAGGTGAAAACATGTATAGTGTATTTACTCTTGAATTATACACTGCAGATGCTTCTTCAGCTCCCTCCTCTTCCTCCATGGGCGGTGCTTGCAGCTCCTTTACCACCTCTTCCAGCCCTACCATTTATTCTACCTCAGTCACCGACAGCAAGGCTATGCAAGTGGAGAGCTGCTCCTCAGCCGTGGGGGTAAGTAACAGAGGGGTAAGTGAAAAGCAGTTAACCAGTAACACAGTCCAGCAGCATCCATCAACACCGAAGAGGCACACAGTCTTGTACATCTCACCACCACCTGAGGACTTGCTGGATAACAGTCGGATGTCCTGCCAGGATGAGGGGTGTGGATTGGAATCTGAGCAGAGCTGCAGTATGTGGATGGAGGATTCCCCCTCCAACTTCAGTAACATGAGCACCAGTTCCTACAATGATAACACTGAGGTACCTCGTAAATCACGAAAACGAAATCCAAAGCAGAGGCCGGGGGTCAAACGACGAGACTGTGAAGAATCTAATATGGATATATTTGATGCCGACAGTGCCAAAGCACCTCACTATGTGCTTTCTCAGCTTACTACGGACAGCAAAAGCAACTCAAAAGCAGGAAATGGGTTGGTATTCACATTTTTTTAAAGTTCTATCACAATTATGCAAAACAAAAATAAATCAATCCCAACTTTAATTGCACAGCTCAAGTTTTCATATAAAGCAAAAATGCCAATTTTCATTGAAAATACATGAAAAAGTTTAACTTAAAACTAGCAAGTTTTATCAGAAAGAAGCTAATATTAATAGATTTGAGCAATTATGCTTATAAGTGTGTTTGTTGTTGTTGTTAAGTACTGTGGAGTCGGTTCCGACTCATAGTGACCCTGCACAGGGTTTCCGAGGCTGCAAATCTTTACGGGGCAGAAAGCCTCATCATTCTCCCGTGGAACAGCTGGTAGTTTTGAACTGCCGACCTTGAGCTTGGCAGCCCAATTCGTAACCATACGCTAGCAGAGCTCCTTATAAGTGTGTTTAGGTAGTAGAAAATGAAAAACTTTTTTGAAGTAACTTTTAATTTCAAATGGATTTATATTTTTAAAGGATTTAAAAATTTTATTACTCATGGAAATAGCAATGTAATGTTTCCAGTTAAAACAACTCTGTAAAACATTCTTAACAAGCTAGATTGTGTCCTTTCAGATTTTTTGTCTATCTTTTTCAGTCAGTATATTTTACTTTATTTTTATTTTGTTCTCTTTATGTGATAAAGATAAGAGAAAACTAAATTAAAGGCTTGGTTCTTATCAGTATATTCACTCATCTTTAGCTTTTTTTCCTCTGATACATTAATTGTACTCATTCAGGATTAAATATATATATGTTGTGTATATATATATATATATATTTGCTAAGGGTTTTTTCCTACTGTGATTCTGAATTATGTCTTTGGAGGATGTTGGAGCAGGATTAGATCACACATTTATTTTGTCTTTTGCAGTATATACACTCACTAAATATATCTAAAAAGCTGTGCTTTAGAAAGCCTCTGTGTGTGACTTTTTAACTTGTAATTGCTTTAGTACTTTTATTGTAATTTAATTGCTAAACATTTTGGTTACATTTTTCTAAAGTATAATCAACATAATTTGGTAAAATCCAACTCACTAGATTTTGAGAGATTACTTTTTTGGAAATCAGGAGCTCCTTTAGTTGGTCCCAAGACCTCCCACAATTTCAGATTGTCAATGAAAAGTAATTGAGAAACTCATATTGTTTTACTACTTGATAACATCATTTCTATCTTTCAGTTAAAAATCTGTTGAGTATTCTTTGAGAATATTCTTAACATGGATTAGATTTTTTTTTTTTTAAACAATTATCTATTATGTAAGCAATACCTATTCCATGCTACTTTGTTCTGTACTCGCCTTTAAAACGCCTTTAGGGTGATATAACTAAATACAGTGGCATTAGAGCAAGGTTCTGAAATGTAATGAATGTTGTTGTTAAGTGCCATCGCACCGGCCCTATTTAAAGTGACCCTATGCACAGCAGAACCAAACGCTGCCTGGTTCTGCACCATCCTTGCCATGGTTGCTGTGTTTGAGCTCATTGCTGCTGCTACTGTGTCATTCCATCTCGGTGGGGGTCTTCCTCTTTTTAGCTGACCCTCCACTTTACCAAGCATTTTGATGTCCTTCTCTAGGGCCTGGTCCCTCCTGATAATATGTCTCAAGTATGAGAGACGAAGTCTCCACCATCCTGGCTTCTAAGGAGCATTCTGGCTATACTTCTTCCAACACAGACTTGTTTGTTCTTCAGGAAGTCCATGGTACTTTCAATATTCTTCTCTGGCACCACAACTCAAATGCATCCGTTCTTCTCTGCTTCTCCTTATTCATTGTCCAGCCTTCGCATGCATATGAGGCTATTGAAAATACCATGGCTTGGGTCAGGCGCACTTTAGTCTTAAAATGGATGTCTTTCCTCTTTAACCCTTTAAAGAGGTCTTGTGTAGGAGACTTGCCCAATGCAATAGGGAAAAACATAGTAAATACGTAATATAAAATACTCGTGTATATCATGAAATACATGCATGTGTTTGTTTAAATTTCAATTGAAAAAGGCTTTTATAATATTTTACAAGAGAAATTTTTGGTTTTATACTGAGGTAGGTGTTAAAAGAAGAGCAAATGAAATTTTGACTAAATTAATGATATTTAACACATGAATGATATGTAGCTACAAATTAAAGAAATATCTTGACTTACAAATTAAAGAGTTACTAATTAGATTTCTGCTTTTCTATGATAGATGTCACACAGACATATGTACACATACATGTATATCTTAGAAACGATTTGAAATTGAGATTCCCTGGGGAAAATATAATGATATTTGTCAAGGTATAAAATCTTTCTTAAAATAATTCATGGAACAAAAACTCCATCAAGCAACAGGAAAAACTTTAGCTTTTTAGGTAATGGAAAAATATTTAACACTAGTATATGGAAATCCTGGAAGAGGAGGCATATATTTTTAATTTTTTAAGAACTAAATCAAGGAAAATATGAGACCATATGTAATATACAGAGACAGACCTTTTTAGAGCATCTTAAGCTAAAATGTATGCTCTTCAAGAAGATGTTAGAAACATGAAAGAAATATAAACATATTTTGAGAGATAGATTTAAATAAAATATTTTAAAATACTGTATAGCTATGCATCTGATGTTACATACATTTATAATTTACATAATGTTAAATATTTAAAACGTGTGCTTTCAAATATGTTGGTATTAATTTATTGGTATTAAAGATTACTCATAGAAATGTTGCCAGCCTGTAGGTGACACAGTGTTTTTATGTAATCAAGTGTTGGGAGTTGATTTAGAAAATAAACCTTTTTATAAAGCAAACAACAGTAACAACAAACAAACAAACAACTGCTGAGTAAGCTTTCTTAGCCATTTCATTCTTACATTTTTTTTAACGAAATGTCCTGAGAATCAGCAGTTGTTTGTATTGTTTGTGTTACTAGAAACAAGAATATAATGTCATCTAGATGTGAAACCTGTAACATTTTCTAGCGAGAGTTATTTTGTGATATAGACAACCAGAAGGATTGTGTATCACAAAGGAATTATAATATAGGTTTTCAAATTTCTGAATATGCCAAAACAGTAGTTTCTTTTCAGGTGACATTCATAAGTAAAATCCCATACAGTCACACAGCTACTTCTGTTTTTCTCATGAGCCTTACAAAATAGTCATCCGAATGACTACTTTTCTAAGAATTCTTGATGTTTTAATTCTTATATGTCTTATGTATGTATTCCATTGCTGCATTTAAGTTTGGAGAATAAAGATAGCCTGTAAGGGCTTATTAGTATCATGTGCTTTTATTAAAGTCATAATTTCTATACTTTGTCAATTCAGTCTTCAATTTTGCTTTACCGGAATAAGTAAAACAGATTTTCATTTTTTGCCCCATATATAATGCCCCATATATAATAGTTTGTATAATGTAAGCGAATATGAAAACCGTATCTTGTCAAATTTATTGGTACACTGTTTAAGTTTTCATAAAATTAATTTGGGAAATAAGAAATGGAAGAAAAATATTTAGAATTTAGACACAGTTCAACTGTTTTTAGCATTTTGCTGGGGGGTTTTGGTTTTTTAAGTCTCTATACATATTTGAAACAAAAACTCCATTTATAGTTTAAATTAACACATTTTTAATTTGATTTTAAAATGAGTATCAAACAATATTGTTACAGAATCTCATCTGTACAGTGTAGGATCTGACACTATATTCATACCAAATGTTTGAATTCCCACCCAGATTGATGAAAATTACTTTAGGGCCTGTGTTTCAGCTTCAAGTTGATACTTTTGTTCATAGAATTTACTCTTCCAGGGACTTTTAAATGACTTGTACAGGTAATCATCAACTTAATTATATCTGCTTCAAATGAATGGAAATTCCTATTGAGTTGTTGTTGTTGTTTGGTGCCATAGAGTTGGTACCGACTCATAGCGACCCTATGCACAACAATACAAAACACTGCCCAATCCTGGGCTAGTCTCACATCGGTGCCATACTTGAGCCCATTGATGTTGCCACTTTGCCAGCCCTTCTCGCTAGGGGTCTTCCTCTTTTCTCTGAACCTCCACCTTACCAAACATGATATCCTTCTCCAGCAACTGGTCCCTCCTAAATATGTGTCCCAAGTGTGAGAGACAAAGTTTGGCCATCCTGGCCTCCAAGGAGCACTCTGGCTGCACTTCCTCCAGCCACAGACCTGTTGGTTCTTTTGGCAGCCCATGGCACTTTTAATATGCTCCTCCAACACCATAACTCAAATGTGTCAATTCTTCTATGGTGTTCCTCATTCTCTGTCCAGCTTTTCATGCATTTATTGAAAATACCATGGCTTGGGTCAGGTGCACCTTAGTCCTTAAGCTGACGTCTTTGCTCTTCAACATTTTAAAAAGGTCTTGTGCAGCAGATTTACCTAATGTGATACATCATTTGGTTTGTTGACTGCTGCTTCCATGAGTGTTGATAGTTGATCCAAGAGGAATGAAATCATTGACAACTTCAATCTTTTCTCCGTTGATAAGAATGTTGTTCATTGGTCCTATTGAGTTAAGGCCTAGTTATTTCTCAACGTATTATTATAGAAGCTTCTTTTTTCTTCCTTACATCTGATTTTCCTCCTTTTTATCCCCTCTGCTTTTACCAGCAAACATTTCTTCAGCACCTATTACGTTTAAGGAACTATGTAAGGATCAGAGAATATGATGATGATTAAATACAGTGTTTTCTACTAGAACTCATTCTCTCATTTATTCAGTCTTGCTATATTCCACTGGTAGTTCCAGCCCTTCTTTCTTCTTTAACTGTCTTGACTTGCTCCTCTAGGAAACTGAAGAGTTTTCTGGCTTGGCCATAGAGTTCAATCTAAGTCTTTATTCCATTTAAAACACCTCCTTCTTTCTCTTTCTTTTTGATGACTGAGACAATGACTTGGTTAGAGTTGGAAAAGCAAACATTGGAGCATTCCTTTTTCGTTACGTGTGAAGATTTTGTCCAGTTATCTCTCAGTTTTTAGATATTTAGTGTGGTCAAAATGTTGGACCAGAACACTTGTATAGAAAGCATTATGCCTTCTGACTCTATTTGTGAATGTGCAGGAATTATTTTTAATCTTTTTCATATTGTTCAAATGAAATGATAATTAACAGTATTTTTGCTACTTTTTTGGCACGTTATTGCAGTGCTTCAGCTATTTTATAGATTAAATGTGCTAGCCTGAAGTTTTTGAACGTGCATTACACAGAGTAAACACATGATAGATAAACTTTATAAACACAGTTTTAAAAAAGACATGAGATTGCCTATACTGTGAAAACCATTTTGTGGAATTATTGTGTGTTAAGAAATCTAGCATATTTGGTTCTTTTGTTCAGGATTATTTAATTAGAAATAAAAGTATTCTAAAAAAAAATTGTACTTCTGTAAAAAGTTCTTTAAAATCAACTTCCCAATAAAAATTAAATGAATAATTTTTATTGTAATTTTCTCAGTTTGATGTCTAAAAATACATGTTATATATTCCTTCAGATAGTTTTGTTTAGGCCATTTTTTGCTTCTCACTACTGTTGTCAGTCTATTTAGAAATTAATAGTAATTAATTTTCATATAACATTGATATACATAAACATATATACATGCACATGAATTTTTTTTAATTGAAGTGCAATGAAAATAAGTTTATAGTGACATTAGCTCTTCTCTTTCTTGTTACTCTCATTTTATTGCATGCAGTCATCTTCCTGCTACACATATGCATTCCTTCTCTTCCTATCCAACTTTCTTTTCTTTTTGCATCATATAGTTAAACTTGGTTACCAGAATTGCTTATAAGAAGTATCTTTTCTCAGATTGTATTGTAGTATGTCAGAAGCTAAGTAGTTCTTAATGTTACTGCCTATTCTGTTTCTTTTTTTTAATCTTAGATGACTTTTATATAAAACTATTTTTAATGCTTTCTTTGTTGTACTTTGGCTTCTCAGAACATTAGAAAACCAAAAGGGAGCTGGAGTAAAGAAGAGCCCTATGTTGTGTGGACAGTATCCTGTTAAAAGTGAGGGAAAGGAGCTGAAGATAGTGGTACAACCTGAGACCCAGCACCGAGCTCGATACCTAACTGAGGGCAGCCGTGGCTCTGTAAAGGACAGAACTCAGCAAGGCTTTCCTACAGTAAAGGTAGGAAAGAAAGAAAGAAAGACTTTCATTTAACAATAAATATATGGAGAATTTTCTTCAGTTTTACTTACTATTTATTTTGTCTTCAGTCAGCAGAAGTTGGCCAAAACAGAAGGATGTAATTACTGGCTATGTATCAGGAGTCCTTTTGTAGCTCTGTGGGTTAATACTCTGGGCTGCAAAGTCATTTTGAACCACAGGGTCAGTGGTTCAAGCTCACCAGCCACTACTTGAAAACCCTATACAGGTTCGCTATGGGTCGGAACTGACTAGATGCTACTTAACAACAACAGTGTATCAGAAAGTAAAGAGCAAATCAATAGGTAAAAAGTCATAGACTAAATATTGTTGCTTTTGTATCATAATTTTAGTTTAAATAAAAGGAGAGATGAAAATGAGTTGCGATAAATAAAATATTTGGAAATCATGAATTATTCCACTCAACTGTTCTAGGTATATCTTTATGTTTGACATTGGTAGCAACTATACTAGGTTCTGCTCAACCTTCATAATAAAAAAGAAACTTGAAATTATTTTAAAGAAATGTGGTTATGGTGGTTATGGTTTTGTGCTGTGTAGGTTTTCCAACGCATGGCGATCTTGTATAGAGTTCCTAAGGCTACAGGTCTTTGCAGGGGAAGAAAGCCTTATTTCCTGAAGAGTGTCTGGTAGATTCAAACTGCCATCTTGGCCGTTAGCAGCGCAACTCGTAAACCATTACACTGCTAGAACGATTTCTAAGGAAATATAGTAGAAATTACTAAGGACTGAGAAGACGAGGGTTTTGAGATGAATAATTAGAATTATTCAATTCAGAAAAGAATATCTATCAAATGATAAATATCTTAAGCCCTCAGGTTAAGAAGTAGGATAGTAATGTAGTTTTTATCTTTTTAGAACTCAAGCTAAATGAAGAAAGGCGTTAGGTTTTAGCTCCTGAGATACATTGTAAACAAAAAAAAAATTTTTTTTTTCCCAAGACCCACTCCCCAATAACAAATGAGGGGAGAGGGATGTTAACAAGTATCTTACCTCTTACTTTGGCTAGCCATATATTGTTTATTGTTTAGGGAGGTCATGTTGGTTCCAACTCACAGTGACCCTGTGTAGGATTTCCAAGGAGCATCTGTTGGGCTTGAACTGCTGCCTTGTGGTATGTAGTCCGGTGCTGATTCAGCAGCATCACATCCGGAGTCCAGTCATATGGTAGATGCTTATTAAATATAATTGTTGTTATGAAGTGCCGTTGAGTCAATTCCAATCCATAGCGACCCTATATAGGGTTTCCAAAGAGCAGCTGGTGAGCTTGAACCACTGACCTTCCAGTTCAAACGACTTTGCAGTCGGACACGTTAGCCCACAGCACCACACCAAGACTCCATTAAATATAATTGTTGTTGTTGTGTGCCGTGGAGTCAGTTCCGACTCATAGTGACCCTGCACAGGGTTTCCGAGGCTGTAAATCTTCACGGGAGCAGAAAGCCTCATCTTTCTCCTGCAGAACCGCTGGTAGTTTCGAACTGCTGACCTTGCAGTTCACAGCCCGCTTCATAACCACTATGCCACCAGAGCTCCTTCTTTATTATAATTGTTGTTGTTGTTATGTGCTGTGGAGTCAGTTCCGACTCATAGCGACCCTGTACAGGGTTTCCGAGGCTGTAAATCTTTACGGGAGCAGAATGCCTCATCTTTCTCCTGCAGAGCAGCTGGTAGTTTCGAACTGCTGACCTTAAGATTCACAGCCTGATTCGTAACCACTACGCTACCAGAGCTCCTTTATAATTAAGTACCTGTAAATGTTAGTTGAACAATATTTGAAAGTTAGAGTAGAGTTGGACTACTTTTCATTTTATACTTGAATGAAATAATTGTTCAACCTTGGGATCAGAAACTTGCCTGTGATCATACGTAAAATTGTTGAATAGTCACACATACCATATCATTCTTACCCCCTTGAACTACCTATCTTCCCAACCTGTCTCCAGTTTTCCAAACCCAGGACAAGTAACAGGCAAGTGAGAAATTTAGTTACACTTTGTATACATAAATATTTGTCTAGCCAAATATTTGATAGGTTTGGCCAATATTTTTAACTAATTATTCTGCCTTTAATTTATGCGTTCTACTTGGTGACTTATCAAAAATATTGTTAAATTAATTGCTTAGCTGTGATAGAGAATGCAGTGATTGATCTTAAGAGCTTATTTATTTATTATTATTATTATTATTATTTATTTATTTATTCAGCAGCATCCCTCTGTGCTAGGCATTCTTCTCTAGGTAATGCTGAATAATAGTTATCAAAGGAGTGCTATCCTTCTGGTAGTTGCGTATTTGTTTGGATCTCATTTCACAGAGATACAGCTAGATAACTAGGATACAAAAATGTATAAATTGTTTTTTTTTTTTTTTTAAAGCATTTCAGCCTTTGTTGTACAGGTTGTTTTTTGACTTTGAGCATTCTACATTAGCAACTTTAATGTTTATCTTAACTATAAACCTTATCAAGCATAAGTACTAGAAACATTTTTTCCCTAATGCTATTTAAATATTTATTCATTCTTCAGCTTAGAAATTATACTTTAATTTATGAAGGCTTGCTAGAGATCTGTAATGATTCATACATCCTGGTTTAAACTGGCAGTTTCTCACATCATAAATTATTTGGCCTGGGATTTCATCATATTTTATGTATGTGTCTAGTGAAGGAATCCTGGTGTGGCGCTGTAGGATAAGCACTCAACTACAGGTCGCTATGAACTGCAAAAGTTGGTGATTCAAACTAACCAGAAACCGTACACAGGGTGGTTATGAGTCGGAATCGACTCAACAGCACTTAACGTCAGCAACTAGATTATGAAAGTAAGCTCTATTTACCCATTATTTATATAACTGTACCTAAGTGCTTTTTTACTCAAATAGCTTTAATGAGTAAAAATTTAGTATATGTATTTTCATATTGATGATGAAAAGGATAACACTAGCACAGTTTAGTGAGCTTTCCCATTGGTGGTGGTGGCGGCAGGCATGAGTTACTACATGCTCCTTTTGTTGCCCAAGTAGCTTGCATGTTTCTTAACAATCACATTTGGAAATTTATCTTAAAAATCAAAGCCACTGATTTTCCTTAAAATCATAGTAAATACATACCCATGGATCAGAGCAAGATTATTTGTTGACAGTTTATATTTATAAATATCTAAAGGACTCTGTGCTTATATTAATCTGGTTGTTCAGATAAGTTACAAATGGTATTTATCATCTGGCATCTAAATTTTTTATTTAAATCTGTTTTAAAAAAATTTATTGTGAATAGAGTGAAGATTTACAGAGTAGCTCATCAGTTTTGCATTAAGCAAATTATATACTTTGCTTCATTACAATGATTGCAATCCCCTCCATGTACCAACTGTTAACAGTGTTTACCTCTAGTCTCTTAACTATTGCATTCTTCCATTTATCTCCTATTAGCTTCATCTTTCCTCTGCTAACCTCCCTCTTGTTTATTGCCTACTCTGTTACCCATGTTGACATGTGTCTGCCATCATGTTAAGTGCCGTTGAGTCAGTTCAGACTCATATCAAGCCTGTATAGGGTTTCCAAGAAGTGGCTGGTGAGCTTGAACTGCTGGTCTTGCAGTTCAAACCAACTTTGCAGTCCATTGCATTAATCAGCAGCACTATACCAGGACTCCCCTTGAATCTATTTTGCCTTCCCCCTGGTGACCCCAACCCCATAACCATCATATATTGTATCCTTTTTCAAGAAAAACCTTTTTATTTTTTTTGTAAAATTTGACTAATTTCACTCAGCATCATGTCCTCCAGGTTTAACCATATTGTAAGATGTTTCACAGACTCATCATTATTAAATATTTTGTAGTGTTTCATAGTGTTTATTTACCAAAAACTGTTTAGTTTAGCTATTCTTCTGTTGATGGGTATTTAGGCTGTCTCCATCTTTTTGATGTCTCTGTAGACAACATACTGAAGGATCCTGCTTTCTCATCCATTCTGCTCTTATGTCTCTTGACTGGTACATTTAATCCGTTTACATTCAGTGTAATTATCAGTAGGTAGGAATTGTCATCTTTGTGCTTTTGTGTGTGTGTGTCCCTCTCTGTGTCTAAAGTCCCCAACTCCTCCATCTCTCCGTGTCATCGTCTCTGCCTCCATCTCAGGCATCATTGCTTCTCTGGGTAGGATTCCGCTCTCCGCTCTTCACCCTTGATGGTCCCAGGGACCAACGCTCCTAGATTGCAAAGTTAATCACTCCCCTCCTTGCTATTGCAAAGTTAATCACTCCCCTCCTTGCTACGAAATGTCTACCTTTACATTTCCAACCTTCACAATCAGACCTGATAACAATTATTCACTGTTGTATCACAAGGTCACCCATCATTTCATCGGCCCTGCCTAGACAGATTGGATACTACTCATTGGAGATTCTACCTTCCTTCATGCCCTCTGAATCTAGGTTCCCTCTTGAAAGCTTGTAAGCCAGTCACTTCTTGCCATTGTAGCCCCTGCATTTTGAGTAGCCAATGTCCAAGTTGCCCATCCTGTCTACTCTGTGTATGTAGGGGTCCATCGCCTTCTTGCCTGTATGGTTTCTGTTGAGAAATTATTGCTTCACCTTTGTAGGTAACATTTTGTTTTCCCCAAGCTTCATTCAGGATTCGTTCCTTGTTTTTGATTTTGGAAAGTTTGATAATTATTTTCTTTTGGGATCTGTCCTGTTTGCAGTTCATTCAGCTTCTTGTACGCTCATCTTCTTTGTCTTTTAAGATATTAGGGAAGTTTTCTTCCATCAACTCTCTGATAATTTTCTCTGTGGTTTTTATTGTCTCTTCTTTTGGCATTTTGATCACCCATAATGGTTCTTCTTAATGGTATCCCACATAACTCTAAGACTTGTTTCAGAGTTTTTCATTCTTTTTTTTGATTCTAGCATACTGGTATTGATTGAGTGATTCATCTTGTACTATACTAATTTGGGTTCCTGTTGCTTCACATCTCTTCCTTTTCCCTTTCAATGTGTTGTCCATGTCTGAAATCTTAGCATTAATTGTCTTGATTCCTAATTACAGATTTTGTATTGTGTCAGATTTGCATTTACATATTTTGTCTGTTCTAATAGTGTTTTCCTGAATGCTTCTAAAGTTTTTTCTATATACTTCTTGCTTTTCTCAATCTTTCTGTCAGTCCTTTGAAATTACCTAAATATCATTCTTTTGATTTCTTTTTCAGTTAGTTCCATTATCTTTCTTCTTCAGAAATGTTTTCTGGCTCTACATCTTGGTCCTTTGAGTCATTCTCTCTCTTTGTGTGAGCTAAAATGGTCTGTTGTTTCCAAGGCATTGTGGTGTTGTCATATTTGTATTTAATTGATGGTTGTGTTGATGTATTCTTAGACTCTCACCAACTGTTGCCTATGGGTGTTCTTAAAGAATAGAAGTGTATACACCATTCTCATTCGCCAGTTCTGTACTCAGTTTAATGTGTGTTTATCTGGTGTTAGCTGCTATCTTCATTGATCACAAAGTATTGAAACTGGTCATAACTCTTGCCCAGTGTGTGGAGCTGCAGAGGGTATTCATGTGGCTAGATTGTGTGGGCATGGTTGCTGTCTCCTTTCCCATTGCCTGTGTGAATCTGCTGTGCCAGGCCTACATCTGTCGCCAAAACTTACAGGAGGGTCGCACTGTGTCTATCCAGCCATTCATGAGTTAGTCTCCCTCTTTTACTGTTCGTCCTCAGCTTCTCATAGCTAGCAATCTATTTTTGTAGTATTGTCTCTGAAGTTCATTATTTCCAGAATTTGCATTTATTTGGTCTAATGTATCTTTGTTGTGTACATTTTAAATTATATTATTATTGCAGAATTAAAACTTAAGGTTTTCTGCAGAAACTTACCTAGCTCTTTTTCATATTTGACTTTACAAATAAATTGTTGCAGAGACTAATTAGTGATTCTCCTTTTTATCTGATTACAGCTGGAAGGCCATAGTGAACCAGTAGTGTTGCAAGTGTTTGTGGGTAATGACTCTGGTCGAGTAAAACCACATGGCTTTTATCAGGCCTGCAGGGTAACTGGACGAAATACAACTCCTTGCAAAGAAGTGGATATCGAAGGCACTACTGTTATAGAAGTTGGCCTTGATCCTAGCAACAATATGACACTGGCGTAAGTATTTAGTGAGAGTTTTTTTCATTATGTATTATAATTTTGCCACGGTAGTTATATTCCATGGAGTTGGTTCCAATTCATAGTGACCCTGTATAGGATTTCTGAGGCTGTAAATCTTTACAGGAGCAGAAAGCCTCATCTTTGTCCTGTGGAACCTCTGGTAGTTTTGAACTGCTGACCTTGAGGGTAGCATTCCAGCTCATAACCACTACACTACCAGATCTCCTTAATTCTCCAATAGGCGGAAAACAATATTAGTTGTTAATATATGAAAGAAGATTTTGAGCATTGTATTTCACTGTTTTAAACACTACAAATAAAAAAACTATATTTCTGTAGAATGGTAATATGTTAAAAGTATTTCATATGACCTTGTGTTAGAGAATGCCCATAGGATGGCATCCTGGCTTTTTGGAAGATTATATACTAACACTGAGATTTATATTAACATTGGAATTAAAAATTACTAACAATTTGATTTGTTTTCCTAAATTCCCCTGTCTTAATGTTTTAATTATAAACTGATCAACATAGACCATTGAGACCATGAAGTGGTTTTTTTTATATTCTGATGCAAAAAGCATGTTGCTAGTCTAAAGGTACCTTTTGCTTTTATTTTCCTACTTTCAAAAAATTATTTATTGGGACTATGTATTTTTCATCCCATGCATTTTCACTTACTGAAAAATATTAGAAGTCTTAGCAATTTAAATTTTTTTTAATCTCAAGTCTTTTTTAAACACCTTTAATCCTGTTGTGGCACTTCAGGGTAAGCACTGGACTGCTAATCACAAGGTCAACGATTCAAACCCAGCAGCTACTTCTGGGCAATCCTAAACAGGGTTGCTATGAGTCAGAACTAACTAGACAGCATTTAACAACAACATTTCTAAGGTTGAACCATAATTATAACAAATATAATGACATGGGTTACCTCTATATTGTAATTATGTATGTTGGATTGTTGTTGTTTATGCTGGATAGCTTCTAAAATCATTCTACTACATGATTTACGCTTTGCTTTTGAAAATTGTTTTGAATAGGTTGGTAAGAGGTTAATTGGAAAAGGGAAATTTCGAAAAGTAGAAAAATGTTGTTGTTTTTTTTGCCCCAGACTGACATAGTTTGTAACTTTTGGAAGTTAGAAAAATAAGTGTAGCTATTGTTGGAAAGTTATAAAAATAAATTTATATATAACCAAAAACCAGATCCATTGCTATCAAGTCAATTCTGTTTCATAACAACCCTGTAGATAAATAGTACATTATCTATGGAAGGAATTTGAAAGTGCAGAATTGTAAAAAAATAAAAATGAAGTATAGTCCTGAAAACTCAACTTCCCAGAAATAACCATTATTTTGATGTTTATCTTTCCAGCCTTTTTTGGTATTAAAATAATAATATACTCAGTAAACCTACTTTTCAGTTAACGTAGTATGAGCATTTTCCATATCATTAAACATTATCTACACCTTTTAATGACTGTTTTATGTAGTTTATCCTTTTAGGCAGTTACTAATTTCTTTTCAAAAGCAAAAGTAATTCTGTTTTTGTATCTGAATTATCTATCAAGAGGAAGAGGCTAATTTATTTTTAAAAACGAGAAGAAAAGTATCTCTTGTCAGCTGTTACTTATGTTCAGAATTTGAAATAGCGATTTTAATTCTTTACTGTTTCCTCCATTATTAAAAAGGAAAAGTTAACAAGAATGTATCTTTCTTTACTTTTTGAATTTGGAACCTGTGACTGTGTAACGTATTTGTTGTTGTTAAATGCCGTCGAGTCGGTTCCGACCCATAGCAACCCTGTGCAAGGTTTCCAAGGGTGTAAATCTTTATGGGAGTAGAAAGTCTCATCTTTCTCCCGCAGAGCGGCTGGTAGTTTCGAACCGCAGACCTTAAGGTTCGCAGCCCAATTCGTCACCACTACGCTACCAGAGCATATTTAGAATTTTAAAAAATCAGCAAATTTTACAAAAAGAAAATTATTTTAGAATATTATTTTTATTTATACAACAGAAAATATAAGTTAATAATTACATTTCTTTCTTTCTTAGGGTGGACTGTGTCGGAATATTGAAATTGAGAAATGCTGATGTTGAAGCCAGAATAGGAATTGCTGGTTCCAAGAAAAAAAGCACTCGTGCCAGATTGGTTTTTCGAGTTACTATCACAAGGAAAGATGGCTCCACATTGACACTGCAAACACCCTCTTCTCCAATTTTATGTAGTAAGTAAGAAAATGTGGAGACACTAAATATTTGGAAATTTTAAAAAAGTTTTTTGTTGATCTGCACCTCAGGAGAAAGACGAAGCTATCTGCTTCTTACAGTCTCAGAAACCCTATTTAGGTTTAGGTAACTCACTGTGAGTCAGATTCTATTTGCTTGACAGTGGTGGTAGTGGTGGTGGTGGTGGTGGTGATGTGCTGTGGAGCTGGTTCCAACTCATAGAGAGACCCTATACAGGGTTTCCGAGGCTGAAATCTTTATGGGAGCAGAAAGCCTCAGACAGTAAGATGGGTTAATTGGAATGAAATATAAAAGGTATGTAACATTTTATGATTTCCTAAAATGTCATATACTAATAAGGTAACTCGACTAGATCAACAGAAATAAATAAATTCCAAAGCCAGAGGATTTTCTCCAAATCATTATCCAATGATAAATTGCTGTCATCCTAACTCTTTTCAGTCTTGGACATGAGAGTAAGCAGAACTTTGTAAATACACACAGTATGCTAGACGTTGGAATTCTGATTACAAAGTATTGTATTATAGTAAGGTATTGGGAAGTAGGAAATTATATTCTTGTTAACCTTAGCATAGATGAAAAATAGCTACTTTTGTTTTTAAATTTAGTCTGTGTGTTTGTATGTGTTTTGCCATGTATTCTAGCTTCTCTGTAGTAATTATTGCAAGTAATGGAAAAAATTTTTTTCCTTAATGTATCACTTAAGAAAATTTTCATTAAGGATTATTATTTTTTCTTTTTTTGGCATTGCTTCCTTATAATTTTATACTTAATTCAAAAGAGCAAAAGAAAATTGTTCATTTGGTTGAATTTCATGTTGAGTTACTACCTCTAGGATAGTTACAGACCATTTTATTATTCAATTGTGAAAGTATTTAATTTTGTCAAAGTTATTCAGACTTTGTAAATGTTATTTTTGCCTTTCTTTTTGATTCAGTTGAAATATATACAGTCCATTCTTTTGCATTCAGATAGGGACAGTATATAAACAGTCTGTAAATAGTTTATCAAATTGTAAAGCTTTAGTAATTGGGGTATACCCTGTTGGTGTGGCACTATAGACCTCAAGATCGGTTTCAACTGTGGAGACAGTGATTCAAATCTACCAGCTTTTCCTTGGAAACACTGTCTAGGATCTATATGTGTAGGAACCAACTCATGTCAATAAACAACAACAGTTCTAACTTTACTACAATTCATGAAAACTATTAGAGTTCCAGTTTTAATTGGGTATATACAGTCCTTCCTTTTACATGATCTAGCACTTTCCACTTTTTACATGATCCATCACCAATCTAGAGCTCTGGGATGGGGCTGTGGGTTAATGTACTGGACTTGGACTGCAAAGTCAGTTTGAAACGCAAGGCTGGCAGTTCAGGCTCACCAGCCACTCCTCGGAAACCCTATACAGGGTTGCTGTGGGTCAGAACCAACTCAACATTGCTTAACAACAACAACCACTCATCTGTCAGTTTGTTGTACTGTGGTGGCTTGCATGTTGCTGTGATGCTACAAATTATGACACCAGTATTTTAAATACCAGCAGGATCGCCCAGAGCAGACAGGCTTCAGCTGAGCTTCCACACTTAAGACAAATTAGGAAGAAGGACAGATGACTACTTCCGAATACTTAATCACTGAAAACTCTATGAGTAATATTGGAACACTGTCAGTACACCACAGTATTGAATTATAAAACATGATGAAGAACACCAGAATATTGTCACATGCAGTGCCCTAAAATGAGGCTTCAGGTAGGAAGGCCCTCAAAACATGACTGGGGTAGATCTACCTCCTCAGAGTAGAATTGAATGTGTTGACCTGAATGGAGTAAAGCTTTCAATACCTGCATTTGTTGATGGGGCACAACTAAAAATGAGAAACAGCTGTAAACATCATTAATATTCAGAACATGGAATGTACAAAGTATGAATATAGGAAAATTGGAAATTGTCAAAAATGAAATGCAATACGTAGATATCGATGTCCTAGGCATTAGTGAGGGAAATGGACTGGAATTGGCCGTTTTGAATCTGACAAACATGGCTTACTATGCAGGGAATGACAAATTGAAGCATTGGCATCACATTGTCAAAAAGAACATTTCAAGATTTATCTTGAAGTACAATGCTGTCTATTATAGGATAATATCAATATGCCTACAAGGATACAAGGAAGGGCTGTTGTTAAAATTTGTGTACCAATCACTAAAGCAAATGTTGATGAAATTGAAGAATTCTACTGAGTTCCTCAGTCCGAAATTGATTTAATACGCAATCAAGATGTATAGATAATCACTGGCGATGGGAATGCAAAGATTGGAAACAAAGAGGGAAGGGGATCCGTTGTTAGGAAATATGACCTTGGTTATAGAAATGATGCTGGAGATCTCATGGGAGAATTTTGTAAGACTAATGACTTCTTCATTGAAAATACCTCTTTTGAGAAATTTAAAAGGTGCGGACCTCACCAGATGGAATACACAGAAATCAAGTAGATTACATCTGTAGGAAGAGACTGTGGAAAATGTCCATATCACTAGCCAAGGAATTTCCAGGGTCAGACTGTGGAACAGACCAACAATTGCTCATATACAAGTTCAGACTGAAGCTGAAGAAAATTAAAACAACTCCATGAGAGCTAAAATATAGGATCTTGAACATATCCCACCTGAATTTAAAAGATCATCTCAAGAACAGATTTAATGCATTAGACACTAATGGCCAAAGACCAGAAGAGTTGTGGGATGACATCAAGAATATCACACAAGAAGAAATAAAAGGTCATTAAGACAAGCAATAAAAGATCAAAATGGATGTCAGAAGGGGCTCTGAAACTTGCTCTTCAGTGTAGAAATGTTAAAACAAATGAAAGAAATGAGACGGAAAAGGAGCTGAACAGAAAATTTCAAAGAGCATCTCAAAAAGACAAAGTCAAATATTCTACTGAAGTTTGCAAAGACCTGAAGTTAGAAAATCAAAGGGAAGAACACATACAGTATTTATCAAACAGAAAGAACTGAAGAAAAAAATCAAGACTCGACTTGAAATACTGAAAGATTTTATGGGCATAATATTGAATGATACAGAAAGCATCAAAAGAAAATGAAAAAAATAAACATAGTCACTGGACCAAGTAGAAATGGTCAGTGTTCAGCCATGTCAAAAGGTGTCATATGATTAAGACCCAGTGATACTAAAGAAGAAGTCAAAAGAGAGGTAACCCAATGGAACGTGGAAATCATAAGACAATATCATTTATATTGCATGCAAGTAAAATTTTGCTGAATATAATTTAAGAATGACTGCAGACGTACATTGACAGAGCTATGAGAGGTTGTGGAATGAGAGATATCATTGCTGGCATCAGATGGATCTTGGCTGAAAGTATAGAACGCCAGTAAAATGTTTATCTGTGCTTTATTGACTGTGCAGAAGATTGTGTGGATCATGACAAGCTATGGACAACAGTGCAGAGAGTGAGAATTCCAGAACACTTCATTGTGTTCATGAGGAGCCTGTACGTAGACAAAGAGGCAATTGTTTATACAGAACAAGAGGATACTGAATGGTTTAAAATCAGGAAATGTGTGTGCCAAGGTTGTATTCTTTCACTATACATATTGAGTCTGTATGCAGAGCAAATAATCTGACATGGTGGATTATATGAAGAAGAACATAGCATCATAATTGGAGAAGACTTAGTAACCACCTGTGAGGTGCAGATGCTACAGCCTTGGTTGCTGAAAGCAAAGAGGACTTAAAATACTTACTGATGAAGATCAAAAACCACAGCCTTCAGTATGGCTTGCACCTCAATGTAAAAAAAAAAAATCCTCACCACTGGACCAGTAAATAACATCAAGATAAGTGGAGAATAGATTGAAGTTGTCAAAGACTTACTTTTGCTTGGATCAACCATCAGCACTCATTGTAGCAGCACTCAGGAAATAAAAAAATGTATTGCATTATGCAAATCTACTGCACAAGACGTCTCTAATGTGTTCAAAAGCTAAGATGTTAGTTTGAGGACTAAGATGCACTTGACCCAAAGCATGGTGTTTTCAATACCCTCATATGCATATGAAATTAGGGCAATGAATAATGACAACTGGAAAAGAATTGATGCATTTGAATTATGGAGTTGGGGAAGAATATTGAAAATATCATGGGCTGTCAGAAGAACAAACAAATCTGTGTGGGAAAAGTACAGCCAGAATGCTTCCTAGAAACCAAGATGGCCAGACTTTTCTCATACTTTGGACATGTTATCTGGAGGGACAAGTCCCTGGGGAAGGACTCATGCTTGGAAAAGTGGAGGGTCAGTGAAGAAGAGGAAGACCCAGTTAGCTGGATTGGCAGAGTGGCACCAACAGTGGGTTCAAGTGTAGGAATGATTGTGAGATTGATGCAGAACTGCAGTGTTTCGTTCTGTTGTGCATAAACTCTTAGTGCAGAGAGGCCTGTAATTGAGTCGGTTATGACTCGACAGCAGCTAACAACAAACAGCGCTTTTAGCATGAGTCATAGCTACTTCCTAAAATTGATTCCAACTCATAGTGATTCTTTATAGGGTTTCCAAGGCTGCAAATCTTTACGGGAGCAGAAAGCCTTATCTTTCTCCTAAATTCTGTAATTTAGACTTCATAAATTTAGAAAGTAGCTCTTCATTGGTATTAGGGACTTTACAGAATATAAAGGTTGTCCCTTCCATTTTCTTAATGCTATTGCTGTTAAGTGATGTTGAGTCTATTCTGACTCATAGCAACTCTGTATAGAGTGTCTTGAGGAGTGACTGATGAGTTTTAACCACCAACCTTGCATTTCAACTGATATTTCAGTTCCATGACCATACTAGGTCTTAGCAAGTTAATTACTAGAATATCTTTGACTTACACAAAGCAGCTTTCCACAATTACAGGCCTCTTTGCACGAAGATGAAAAAAATTATAAAATGTACACAGATAATAGGCAGATTG